TTGCTCGCAAAAGCCCGTTTGACAGAAATGTTTAAAAAGTGTTGGGTTTCCTACGAATCCGCAAGAGCGCGCGGGATGAGATTTTGACAATTTTTTGTTGAAAAACCATTGGTTTTTTGATGTTTTTATGTTAAAATCGCTGCGAACACTAAGGTTTTGGAAGGATTTCGTCTTGCGCGCGCGAATGTCCACTTTACCTTATTTTTTGCAAGGGATTCTTGAAATTTGATTATATTAGAACAAGAAATGTCATTTTCTATTGTTTTTTGCAAGGGAAAGCGGACTACAACAAAACAACCGGATCCTGTACACACCCTCTTTTCTGAGGCTTCCTCACGAAAATGATGAAAATGTAGCTGCGGCCTAGGCGGCGCAGGGGGGGCGCGCACCAGGGGGCCCAACAATAATTATTCTTTAGAATAAATAATGTTCAACAATCATCTTAAGACCGTTCGCTCTTAGATGCTCGAGGGGTTCAAAAACGCGTATTTCCCAAACCCTCAATACCCGCCCTCGTCGTCTTCGATCAAACCCCTTTTGGGGGGAATACCTTTCTTCCCTGCGGGCCGGGCCCTGGCAAGCAGCGGGGCGGCCGCGGACCGTCGGCCTGACCAGCGGCAGCGCTGATCGGGGCAGCGGCCGCGGACCGTCGACCCGACCCCAAGAGGGACGGACAGGGGACCGACCACGACGACGACGACGACGACGACGACGACGACGACGACGACGACGACGACGACGACGACGTCGAAGACCACGGCGACAACGACGACGACGACGACGACGACGACGACGACGAAGACGACGACGACGACGACGACGACGACGACGACGGCGACGACGAGCGAAAGCGAGAGCGAGAGAGAACGACAGCAGGGCCACGAAGGGCACGAAGTAGGCCACGAAGGGCGACAGCGGGGACACGAAGGGAATGCGTATGGGGCCACGAAGAGCGCGAACGAGCGTGGGCCACGAAGGACATATAATGCGGGACCACAGAAGGCAACGATGGGGCCACTGAGGGTAGCACCTGGGCCACGTTAGACAATGAGGGGGCCACAAGCGGCGACAGCGGGGCCACGAAGGGCATGCACATGGGGCCACCACGGGCGCGACTCCTGGGTGCCTGGGTGTCGGGAACGCGGCGCTTGGGCAAATTGCTAGAAATTCCAACGCAAGGCCATTCTTCAGTAAGTTGCAAGCACGTCGCCAGCGAGAGCGCGACTCCAGAGCGCCGGGAGAGCGATTCCTTATCAAATTGTTAGGAAGTCCCCAGCGAAAGCGCGATTCCTGCATAAAATGCGAGGAATTCTCGGGCGGGAGCGGGGGTCCTGGCTAAATTGTAAGGAGGTCTCAAGCGGGACCGGTTGTTGTTGTTCTAACCCGGGGGCCAGGGGCCCAGTTTGAACATCAAGACTTTCCCTGTCAAAAAACCGGGTGCGAGCGTCGAGGGGCACACTTTGATCGAGAAAGAACAATATGCACCGGTGGGGAGGGTCAACAATATCTTCTGAAATGAGAATTCAACAACGGAGAGGCGTACACTCCGGCCCCGGGCACCCCGGGCAGAGCCGGAGCCTCCGGTGTCACTCCCCCGGTGGACAGGCGCAAACTCCGGCCCCGTCCTGAGTCGCTGTGTGACAACTTTTCTGGCCCTGCTAGAGGCCATCAGCGACGGTGTCGCGCCGAGGTGGGCAAACGGACACTCCGGCCCCGTGTGCACCGTCATCTGTGCTGCTCCCTCCAGCGAAAACGCTCCCTGTGCGCTACCCCCTTCTGCGGCCCCGCGTGCGGCTAAGACACCCTCAGGGACCCTCAGGGACCCTCACGACTCCTGACGAAAGCTAAGGACTCAGACGACAAAGACGGCGGCAGCAGACCCGACAGGAGCAGGGGGAGAGGGAGCTCCACAAAGGGTGGAAGGGATGAAGGGGGAGGAGCAGCAGCAGCACAACCACCATTCAGGCAGAATCCCGATCAAACAATACCATGCAGACCACATGCGCGGGTCCGCCGCGCTCGCATGTCGAAGCCTGTCAAACACCTTTGGTTCCGTAAAGAATCCGAGTGCGATCTTCACGAGGACTGGTATTGCGGCTTTGAAAAACGACTGGATGTCGCAACCGCCTTTTCCAATGAAAAAACATGCGCGCGCGCGCACTTCCTCATCAACCCCTAGGGAATCCCGTACGGAATCCCGCACGGAATCCGCAGGGAACCCTCAGCGGCTCAAGCGGAGCAAGCAAGCCCAGCGGCCGGCGCGCGCGAGGGGCGCGCGCGGGGCGCAGGCATGGCGCCCTCCAGGGGGCCACGGGGTCCGCGCGCCGACGCTCGGAGCATGGGGAGTGCTCCGGGCGAAGGGGGGCGCCCACCGGACCCAGGCCCGCCACCAGGCCTCTGGACGCTGGCTGGGCGAAGGAGACGGGCGCAGGGAGGCGGGAGGCGAAGGACGAGCCCGCCGAGACCTCGTCACCACGGCGGGCGCGGAGCGAGAAACTCGGTCAGGAGAGGGGCCACGACCACGACTACGACTAAGCACCCAACGACACGACTTGCCCCCGACCCCCTCCGCTTGAACCCCTTCCGCCACCTGGCTCAAGGCGAGCACAGCCTCACACCTGCCCCGCCGCCCGAAGACACAGACAGCCGACCCAGACTCGCAGACCCACCGGTCGACTTCCAGACGCTCAGACTCCGCAGCGCTGGGTGTTCGCCTTGGCCCACTCGGTGCGCCACGAGGAACCACCGTCGTGCCAGACGCCGCGCCGAGAAGAGGGAGAGAGCGAACAGAGAGGCACACGCCTACCACGAACATGCCGAGACCATGCGGCAGCAGGAATCTTTCTCCAGGCGACAGACCTACCTCGAGGACCGGTTCTACCTGAGGCGGCACGCGACGCGGGGCAGCGTAGAAATCGAAGAGCGAACCACCACGCAGCCCGACTACCAAGCTCACAACACCACCGACCACGACTCACCCACGCCAAGCACGCGAGACTGCATCCAAAAGCTCCTGCGCGCGCCCCTTGGACCCAACACGAGACCCGACTACACGAACGAGGGCGCAACGACCGTCATGATGCAGGCCGGGGTGGGGACGCTGGAGACGGACAGCCCGACCCTGCAGCCGAGCGCACGCCAACGCGCCCGCCAGCGGAAGAGGAACGCTGCCGAGCCAACGCCAGCAAGGGAACCGCAGAGCGTTGCCAACACGAGGATGCCACTTCCGTCCAGTGGCAGCCCACGATGCTACCACCACGTCCTGCCCGCGCCGGGCCGACAAGGGCAACGCAGAACTGCAGCTACCGCCAATGCCCTCCCGCCACCCTTGCTCACACCGGCAGCCCCGCAGCTCCCAGAAACGGGAGTCACCGCTTCTACCTGGCGCGCAAAGGCGACGAGGGCAAGCCCTCGCACCAGAGCCGCGCGCAAACGGGCGGCCGCAGCAGGAGAAGCAGCAGAAAGCTCCTTGCACCAGCAGAGCGACCACCGCGACCACCAACACCACGCGCAGCAACACCAGCGCGACGAGGAGCACCGCAGCGGCAACAACGCCCACGACTGCGACCAGCACCACGCGCAAGAACACCAGCGCACAGCACAACGCAGCGACCAAGACCACCACGACGTGCACCACCACGAGCAGCAGCACCAGCGCAACCCCTCCAAAAGCTGCCGCGACGCGCGATGGGGTTACCGAGGCGTTCGAGTGGGCGAGGCCAGCCACCCAGGACCTCCAGACGCACCCGGGGACAGCCCCCGAACACCGCGCCCGAGACACACGACGTCACCACCAGAGTCGCCAGAGCACGCACCCGGCGGCGCGGCGCCAATCCCGTCGCAGGAAGAGACCCCACCACGGGCTCTGCTCCGGCTACAAGCCGCAGGGTTTCAGCTTGGCGCGCCAGCCGTGCCGGACCACTTTGGCGCCGTCTTCGGGAGGGCGCCAGAAGGCGGATGGAAATTTGCGGGCTTATTCGCCCCGCACGGCGACAGGCAGGGCGAGGCAGCAGAAGCGGCAGCAACAGCGCGGGAGGAGCCAGACCGATCACCAGCGCCGGCAGAAGACGCCAACATCTGCGTCGTCTGCCAGGAAGTGATCCCGCACCATGGGGCGGGCAGGGACACACCAACACAGGAGGCATGCTGTGGCGCCCACTTCCACTTGGGCTGCCGCGCCGACTTGGCCCGCCACCGTGGCGAAGCCACCACTTGCCCGCAGTGCCGAGCCAGACTCCCGACCACCGCCGAGTTACGGGCATGGTGCGCCGCGCAGGGCGTGGACATAGACCGACCGCCGCCCCCGGCCCACGACACCAGCGCCCAGGCCGTCCCAGATTACAATGGGTTTCGAAGCTACGCGCGAGGCGAAGAACCACCACCACGGGAGCCACCGCTGCTCCGAGCACTCTGCTGCCGACGCCTCGGCCCACCGCCCGAATTCTCCGAAGTGCCAGACCGCCGCATGGAATGGTCCCCGGAGAACGCTGCACGCGACACCAACGGGATGATCACGCAGTGGCTTGAGTCATGGCTTTGCCCACGCTGCGGGGCGCGCTGCGCCGTCGACACGATCGCGCCACAGAGCGGCCAGCAGATGTGCGCGAGGTGCCTAGAGCAGGGCACGTGGACCGCGGAAGCCAGCACGGCCGAAGGCGAATGGAGATGCGCTTTGTGCGAACCAGACGCATGGACCAGAGAAGTGCCTTCTGCCCCACCACCGGCCCCGCCAGGTCCAGAGCCATCACCACCAGCCCCCCCGCCAGGGCCAGAGCGAGCCGCCGCGAGGCCGCCACAACACAGCCCTTTCGCCAGCTGGGCCCCACCGCAAGCGCCCCTCCAGGCACGCACCAACTCGGCAGTGTACGTGCCCCTGCGGCTAGCAGCCGCCGGGCTTTTAGACCCAAGCGAAGGGGCGCAGTGGAGTGAGCACCGCCTCACACAGGCCTGGTGGCAGCCGACGGTAGAGACGTTGCGGCTTGCAGAACCTGTGCTAACAGGGCCCTTTGTCCAAATGCTGGCGTACACCGACGCTCGGCCCGGGGAAGTACCAGCGGTGCTTGCTGCAGACGGAGGAGAGCGCCCAGGGCACGTATCCTTTGCGCCAGTCGTCCAGGCCGTGGCGCACAGCAGCACCGGCTACATACAGCCGCTGGTGCAAGACCTCCTCCTCGAAGCCTTCGGCGGCGGCGTGCTTGCACGAGGAGTTGACGCACGCACAAACGAGCTGCGCAACCCAAGCTTCTGGGCAGACGCGGCGCCTCCGCCGCCGCTCCCACCGCCAGAGGCGCCCCAGGAGCCGGAGCTGCCTGGAGACCAGCACGCGAACGGCCCTGCCGCCGTGGTGGGCAGAGGCGCCCCCGGAGACAGAAACGGAAGAGGCGCCAGAGAAAGCAGACGAGGAAGAGGCGTCAGAAGAGGCCGAGGCGGCGGAGAAGGGGGAGGAGGAGGCCCGAGCAGCGGCAGCGACGGCGGAAACACGGGCGCGGAGGAGGGAGCCAACGACGGCGGCAGCAACTCCAGCACTGAGGAGACCGACCACGAGGCCGAACCAGCGCAGGCCCCAGCCCCGAGCAACGGACCCACCGAAGAGTCCTGGGCAGCTCTCGGGGGCATCGACCTCCAACAAGAGCTACGGAGATTCGTGCCGACACTACAGAACGTGCCACGTTTCCTGCGCGCGGAGACCCGGATGGCGTTCACCACGGCCCTGCAGAGGATCAAGCGAGGACACGACCAGGGCAACCAAGCAACAACCCACCAAGGATGGACACTGTTCCTCCTCGCCTCGAGGCTCCTGCTAAGCAAGCCCAAGGGTACCGACGCCGAGGGCCGACAAGAGCTCTTGGAACGCGCCCAACGGTTCCGCCAGGGCGACTGGCTGGCCCTGCTACACGAGGCCAACACCACGGCCGGCGCGCGCGCAGCGCCGAGGCCAGCCACAGAGGAGCAACAGCAGGAGAGACGCAGAGAACAGGCTTGCGCGCACGTCCGAAACGGCAACCCGTCACGGGGGAGACAGGTCTTGACCGCGGCGGCGATTGCGCCCGGCAACGGGGAGACACTAAACAGGCTGCGGGACCCGGCCCGCCGACCGCCTACCCTGAGCCGCCGACTACCCGCCAACCTCGACCGCGCAACCGACAGAGCGAGACTCGACAAGACCAAATTCCTCGCTTGCCTCCGGTCCGCCAAAAAGGGCACGGCAGCAGGACCGTCGGGGGTCCGCGTTGAGCACCTCAAGCCGCTGCTGGAACACGAAGAGTCCATGGACCTGCTTGGATTCGCCGCCGCTGCCCTCGCGGAGGCGCGGGTGCCCTCCCCGATTGCCCGCGCTCTAGCCCTCTGCAAGATGACGGCGCTCCAGAAACCAGACAACGGAGTACGGGGCATCGCCACCGGCGACGTTTTCCGCCGACTGGTCACCAGGGCGCTCGCTCAACAGTTCGCCGAGCAGTTCGCGGCCGCAACTGCGCCCTTCCAGTTCGCCCTGACGACGCGGGCAGGAACCGACTGCGCCGCCATGCTGCTGAGGTCAGTGCTGGACCACGACGACGACGCAGTGATTGTCAGCATCGATGGAGTCGGGGCTTTCGACCATGTGTCGAGGTCGGCCTTCTTCCAGGAGCTCCTTGCTCGCCCAGAGCTGGCCGGCTTAATCCCCTTCGTGAAGATGTGGTACGGGCAAGACTCCACCTACCTCTGGCAAGACGAAATGGGGACTGTGCACGACGTGCACCAGGGAGAGGGAGTGGAGCAGGGGGACGCGCTGGCCCCAGCCCTCTTCGCTCTTGCCCTGCACGGAGCGCTGGCGGGCGCCTCCAGGACCCTAGAGCAAGGGGACTTCCTAGTCGCTTTCTTGGACGACGTGTACATCAAGACCACCCGGGCCAGGGCCAGAGCCGCTTTCGACACCACCGCCGGAGCAATTCACCTCCACGCAAACGTGGATTGCCACCTTGGCAAGTGCCGGGCCTACAGCAGGGGCGGAGGCGCAGCGCCGCCCGGAATAGGCGAGCTGGGACAAGACGTCTGGAGGGGTGACAGAGCACCACCCGACCGAGGAATCAAGATCCTTGGCACCCCCCTAGGCACCCCAGAATTCGTCGCCGCACACCTGGAGAGCAGACTACAGGAAGAGAGGAGACTCCTGGACGAACTGGCGCACCTGCCCGACCTACAGTGCGCTTGGCTCCTCCTCCTCCTTTGCGCCTCCCCGCGGGCCAACCACCTGCTGCGAACCCTGCCGCCAAAGGAAATCGCAGAATATGCGAGAGGCCACGACGGCGACATGTGGGCCACCCTGCGCCGCCTCCTCGGGGACCCCGCAATGTCGCAAGACGAAGAGCGACGGGCGCGCGCACTGGCAGCAATGCCTGGACGACACGGAGGACTCGGGCTCCAAAGCGCCGCGCGCACGTCCCCAGCGGCCTACTGGGGCGCTTGGGCAGACGCCCTACACATGCTCCACCAACGGCGCCCCGTTGAAGCTGCAGCGATCAGAGACCTCCTCGACGGCACCAGGCCCGGCCGTAGGGGCAACCTTGCCGCAGCCGCCGCGGCCGCACAGCTGCTAGAAACCGAAGGCTTCCGGAGACCTTCCTGGACCGACCTGCTCCAGGGGCTGCGCCCAGAAGCGCCGCCGCGCTCGGAGGCCGCCGAACCGGGGGAATGGCAGCACGGCTGGCAGTTCCACGCTTGTTCCGCACGCAACACACACTACAGGGACAACGTGTTCATGCCCAGCCTCACCAGGGCCAACCAGGCCATGCTAAGGTCAGGCTCAGGACCGAGGGCCGCCTACTGGCTTCACACCTTACCCACCACCGAGGGGCACGTGTTCAAGCCCGCGCGGTTCCTGGCAGCCCTGCGCCGGCGCCTCAGGCTCCCGCTGCCGCTCCTCCCGCACACCTGCGGGGCAGCCGGCCACCCAGGCTGCCGGGCCAGGCTGGACACGCTGGGAGACCACCTAGCCGCGTGCCCACGCACGGGGCTTCTCGCCAGACGCGCGAAACCGCTCGAACGAGCTTGGGCGAGGGTCGCCAGAGAAGCAGGAGGGAGAGTTGTCCCCCAACAGCTGCTGCGGGACACTAACGCCGTTGTTCACAACCCGCTGGACCGCAGACAATTAGACCTCGTCGTCTACGGCATCTCGCCGAACGGCGTCCCGCTGTGCTGCGACAGCACCATGGTGTCCCCCCTCCGCAGGGACGGCTGGCACCGGCCGCGCACCTTCGACACCGACGGCGCCGCGCTACTTGGGGCCGAAGGCGCAAACGACGCAGGTACCACGAACTCACGACCGGCCATTCAGGCCGCCTCATGGTCCTCTCCTGCGAGGTCGGAGGCAGGTGGGGCCGCGATTCCCTCCAGCTGGTACGCCTGCTTGCCAAGCAGAAGGCGCGGGCCGCGCCGGCCCTCCTCCGCCGCTCCGCGGAGCTCGCGTACACCAACCGCTGGTGGGGGTTCCTGAGCGTCGCGGCCCAGGACTCGCTCATGGCCACCCTGACGGGCGACGGCTACCTAGCCTTGGGGGGGGCCGCCGGGGAGGACGACCCAGACCTGGCCGAAGTGCTGCTCGCAGACTCCGCCGGCCCACCCGCTAGCCGCCTGCCAGCACGCCCCTGATGCTTGGCGCCGCGGCCAGCACGGCCGCCCCGGGGGGCTCCGACGAGCGCCGGGAGCACCCCCGACACGGCAGCGGGCACCACGGAGGTTAGCAGTACCACCACCACCACAACGGCGACCAGCAGCACCATCGCTTCGACTGCGACCCGCAGCAGAACCACCACCAACACCACCACCACGAGAGCGACCCGCAGCACCACCACGACCACGACCAGGAGCACCACGACTGCGACCAGCAGCACCACGACTGCGACCAGCAGCAGCACCACCACGACTACGACCATTAGCACCACCACCACCACGACCAGCAGCACCACCAGCACCACCAGCACAAGCAGCACCACCACGACTGCGACCAGCAGTACCACCACGACTACGACCAGCACCACCACGACTGCAACCAGCAGCAGCACCACAACGACCAGCAGCACCACCACCATTACCAGTAGAACCACCAGCACCACCACGACGGCGACCTGCAGCCCCACGACTGCGACCAGCAGCGCCACGACTGCGACCAGCAGCACCACGACTGCGACCAGCAGCAGCACCACCACGACTGCGACCAGCAGCACCACCACTACGACAGCGACCCGCAGCACCACCACGACCACGACCACGACCAGCAGCACCACGACAGCGAACAGCAACACCACGACTGCAACCGGGAGCAGCAGCACCGAGACAGCGACCAGCAGCGCCACCACGACCCGCACCACCAGCACAGCCAGCACTACCACGACTGCGACCAGCAGCACCACCACCACTACGACCAGCACCGCCACGACAACGACCAGCAGCACCACCAGCACCACCAGCACAAGCAGCACCACCACGACTGCGACCAGCACCACCACCACGACAGCGACCCGCAGCACCACCACGACCACGACCAGGAGCACCACGACTGCAACCAGCAGCACGACGACTGCGACAAGCAGCAGCACCACCACGACTACGACCAGTAGCAGCAGCACCACCACCACCACGACCAGCAGCACCACCAGCACCACCAGCACAAGCAGCACCACCACGACTGCGACCAGCAGCACAACCACGACTACGACCAGCACCGCCACGACTGCAACCAGCAGCAGCACCACAACGACCAGCAGCACCACCACCACGGCCAGCAGCACCACCAGCACCACTACGACGGCGACCAGCAGCCCCACGACTGCGACCAGCAGCACCACGACTGCGACCAGCAGCACCACGACTGCGACCAGCAGCACCACGACTGCGACCAGAAGCAGCACCACCACGACTGCGACCAGCAGCACCACCACCACGACAGCGACCCGCAGCACCACCACGACCACGACCACGACCAGCAGCACCACGACCACCACGACCAGCAGCACCACCAGCACCACTAGCACAAGCGGCACCACCACGACTGCGACCAGCAGCACCACCACGACTACGACCAGCACCGCCACGACTGCAACCAGCAGCAGCACCACCACGACCAGTAGCACCACCAGCACCACCACGACGGCGACTTGCAGCCCCACGACCGCGACCAGCAGCGCCACGACTGCGACCAGCAGCACCACCACCACGACAGCGACCCG